CCTATCAAGAAAACTTGGGGCGTCGCACCAGGGGGGGACAAGGTAGTAGTAGTAGTAGTAGTAGTAGTAGTAGTAGTAGTAGTGGTAGTAGTAGTAGTAGTAGTAGTAGTAGTGGTAGTAGTAGTAGTAGAAGTCGTCGTAGTAGTAGTCGTCGTCGTCGTAGTAGTAGTAGTGGCAGCAGCAGCAGCAGGAGGAGTAGTAGTAGTAGTAGCAGTGGTCGTAGCAGCAGTAGCAGGTACACACTGCGGGGCCTTGTTTTTCCCAGCATAAAGCTTCGCGATGTTTGGTGAGTTGTAGCTTGAAGCTTCCACTTGGACTGATTTCAGATCGAGGCTGCAGGGCATTCCACCATCTACTAGAGCAGCAGCAGCAGCAGCAATCGTAGTGACGGTGGCGATTGTGTGAGTTAACCCTCTCCATACGGCTATAACTTGATTTTCCATCATACAATCACCTCGTGACTGTTCCCGACGACACACTCAAGTGCGGGTACCTCAGTGATTGGTGCAGCTCGCACGTTGTTGACCGAGTTGTCTGCGGGAAACGGAATACTGACGCATTGGGTCGAGTCATTGGCTGCCTGTTGATCTGATGTTGTCTTTCTGCCCCGCTCACCGGTTGCCACACACATGCTACGTAGCCGTTGCCAGTAACTGCCAGTACCAATCTGCAGCTGTGCAATTACATTGCGGAAGCGGCACTCTCCCTCCGCCGCAGACTTGAACAACTTCAGCTGCCGCTTGGCCTGGCTAACATCCTTTGCTTGTGGAGTGCACCCCAGATGCCGCCTGCTTGACGGCTTGCGCAACGCCGCCCTCAGGCTCCTCAGCAAGCTTCCAGCCGACGTTGCAAGACTGCGGAGCACTCTAATCAAGCATTGCGGGCTGCAGCCTGATGAGAATCTAAGTGGAACCATGCTCCTCCAGTTCCGGTGGGCACGTTGGCAACACCTAGCAGCTAACTGCCTTTGCAGTTCTTCACATGACGACTCTTCTGAATCTCGATTTAGGCGGCAAAGCTGCGACATCCCCTCCAGCAAGATCGAGAACTGCTGGTGTTGCGAGGAGGGGTCGAAGGCCTCGGGATCCGATCATGATGTGCAGGCTTTACATCACGCTCGAGTTGTCTTTTCCTTTACATCTCTGGGACATAAAGAAGCAGATCGCCCAAGAGCAGCACCGACATGGTCCATCACGGGCAGACAGTCATGTGGCTTACAATGCTGGAACCGTGGTCGTAAGTTCACGCATCCTGCTGACAAGCCCCGGAGTTGTTCCTTAACACACTATGCTCAAGCCCGAAAGCAACGTATTGACTCCTCAGCATATGCAACGGCTGGAGATCGGTTGACAGGGATCTGGAGAGCAACTCCGAAAAGCATTGCATTGTACCTCAAGCTACTTCCTCAAGCTCATTCTTTGTCGCTTGGAGCCTTCGGAGCAGCATTTAAGAACGGGGCTAGGCCTAGGCATTGCCGGGATGTCAGTGGATTAGCGAAGTGACTCTTCTCACATCATGTGCCTCCCTCGCAGAAACTACCACCAATCCAGCACGTATCCGGCTCCCTTACACGTGCTGGCGGCATTGCAACAAATGGAGTTGCGGCAAATACAAGAACCTCGCAGAACTTAGCTTAGCAGATCTTAGCACATTAGCATCTATAGGATGTCTTCTGCTAGGCAGCATTCGCAGCATTCCTTTTAAAGCCTCACACGTCAAGCCGGCAAGAAATTACATCAAAGACAACTGGCAAAGCTTTGTGTCTAGTTTGTGCTGGCTGTTTGTTCGTCTGATTTTGTGTCCACATGATGCAAAACTGAAGATGACGTCCAAAGTGTCTTCAACAATCCTGCTGTAGGATCTTCTCTGTCGACATCTCCTTGCAGCTGCTCCCACCACTTCCCGTTCCACTCCCTATATTGCTTGTACTGTGCCGCTTACGGAATTTGTCTCTTGCACACGAAGCAGTCTCAGACAGTGCGATTGACCGCAATATGTAGAGCCGTCGGAGGCTGCGTTCCCTGAAAAAGCATCAGCAGGTCCACAACCAGCGAGGGATGCGAGCAAGTGAACAACTCCAATTTGGAGTTCGGCTGCCCCAAAACAAATTGTTTTTGCCAGGAAAACTTCCCCTCTCAGCCCAGGACACATTTCTGACAGCCTGATCGTCCTTGCAATGCCAATGTAATGGCGTTGTAGGTGAAACACTGTTCTGCCTTTGGCAGTTTATGCCGATGCCTGCACCTACCAGACTCCATGCAAGAAAGCTCATATGGCAGCTTCTTTGGGGGTTCTGTCCATAAGCTCTTCCTGGAACAACCTTTCAGTGAGCAAAGGTCCAGCCAGGCAAAGTTTGCACAAGCAAAAAAGATGGGCCTCTGCATTGTCCGAACAAGGTTAGGAGGTTCAACGTCTTGCCGACTCATGCGAATGAACTCCAGCTCCTGACAAAACAAACATGCCTTTGAATGCATAACTCGCACACCCGTAAAGGTCTTCAGCAAAATAAGAAAGTCGTCTCCTGGCTTCGAACGACGGATTTCAACCTGCTGTCTTCACTTGGTGGCTTGGCTGCCTGGCAGAGGGCCAAATGTCAGTTTGTCAAGTCGCTCAATCTGTGTTCCATTTTCCGCTCCATTCCGAGTCCGGCACGTGCTGAAAGAGGTTGGCAGCTATTTGTTTCACTTTGCTTCTCCTGCCATGGAACATGTCGCGCCTCGGGTAAGGAGGCCGAGCAAAGCACTTTGGCTTGAGCTGAGGAAAGAGCGATGCAATCTCACCAAACGTCGAACGCACCAGGGCTTCTGCCTCTTCAACAGACCTGTTGCCGCCAGCACCGGTTCCAAGGCAATACCAGCGCAAGTGCATGCAAGTGCCAACCGATTTCGACGCTTAAGATTTGATTTGCTGCGTGCAAAAAGAGCTAGAGAACATGGGCCTACAGCCTCCCTATCGGCCCATTCGCTTCTTTTTCGTGAAGCCCCGACCCGCTTTCGGCCGTGTGGTCACATGGTTTGCACATGTTCGTTCCTTCCTCGGAAGGGCACGGATTTTACGACGTCTGCGATGGTGGCACGTGGGCATGTGCGGCTTGTTCATGGGCTGTCAAGTAAAGACCGACGCCCAGGTTCCCATTTCGACCTGGTGCCTTGCACGTGAGGGCATGCTGCGTCATGGTGTGGTTCCTTTCGCCCTTCTCTTAACTGCACATTCAGTCCAGCAGGACCCGGATCCTTCCACAGCCTAGCGATGATTTCTGTAAGCTGCTTCCAAACACCAATGCTTTATGATGCTTTGTGTCACGAACACTTCGAAGCAATTTTGCTCGACTGTGGCACGCTCGAACTGATCGCCTTGGCATCGATGAGCTTGCCATTGATGGGATGACCTGCTTCGAGATTCTGCGAGGCAGTGACGAGGCAGAAATGCAACACTGGATGTGTCTGCATTTGCTCAAATACGCAATGCGTCCAGGGTGCCCGTGTGTTCTCGTGTCGACATACCAAAAATTCAAGCGACAGTCAACAATCTACAAATCGTGAGCTACACGACAGCACTGCCCTGCAAACTCCGCATCTAGAGACGCATCCGCACAAGAGCCTTGTAAATCCATGCATGGTGCCAACAAACTTCGTACCAAATGGTAGAGACACCGAAACAACGTCGCTTCGAGGTGAAAGCACTCGCCGCATGCCGCGTTTTCCCTCGGCATCTTGCCCGGCTCACAGCAACTCCAAGGAACCGACCTTTTCTTGATTGTTGGCCTTAATGTTTCCATATCAATAGCAACCGCAGAAATGACCTGTTCTCTGAATTCTGTGCAAACCATGCACTGCGCTGAGGCGCAGACTTCAAGTTGGGCAGCATGCCTCGTGCAGGCCACTACGGGTGGCGCAGCACGCAATCATGCTCAAACTCTCAGCACAACAACAAATCATCAAATAATGGCATGCGTGAGGGTAAGAAAGCCCAGAACCAGAAGTCCGGCAGTAGAAACTTCAAAAAGTACTCTGGTGTGCCACAGTGCAGCATAAGCCCCATGCCCCAGGGCATGCCCTCCATGCACTCCTGGTGCCTGCATATCACATGCTTGCGTGCACGCTTTCGCTTGCGACCTGAAGCAAACTCTTGCCTGATTGGTCTCGAGGTGGCGATGCATCCACTCCGGCCTTCATCAAGGCAAGCCCTCGCTTGACCTCCTCACACTGCCTCGCTGGTCTGGGGCGCTGACAAGCGCATTTCCCTGACAAGTCTGACCTTGGCCGGAGGATGCCTCAGTCTGTGTACTTAATGGAAGGTTTTGGGACCTTCTGTACAAGCGGGCACGATGAGCCAGACATCTCACACTGCCACTTCCCAGCCTTGTGTCTCGTAAGTTGGATTAAAGATAAACTTGCAAAAGCTGCAATTAGTCGTAGTTTGCCAGCGAAATGTCTTCTTGGGGATCAACTTTTGGCCTCGCTTCCACTGCAAAATCCGCTGGTAAAAAACTGCCTGGCGCGCTGGGATCTGGCAGCCCGACCCTCGGGTAAATAGAAGGGCTGCAGCTGACCCACCATGCAAGACAAGCCGGAAGTCCAGCTTCAGCTGCCTTCAAGCTTCGAGAGGGCTGCAGCACTACTGACGACCTCCCGGCCTGCAACTTTGAATCAGAACTTCGTCGTGGCTCATTTATGCAATTAGAGCTAAGCATCACCGACACCGGCAACTCCACGTGCGGGCAGAACAACGGCGGCCGTGCTTGTCCATCGGCTGTGCTGAGTCACTTCTAAAGTCCGCAAAATTCAGAAAAGTTCAAAGCCAAAAGCCATAGCACCAAGCCCAGCTCCTGTCAACCTGCGACTGCGACACTCTTTCAATTGTCTCCTACCTGCGGGACCCTGTCACCTCATGCGAGAAAAAGAACAAAAGTGCAATCGCAGCCCTGCCAGGCACGGTGGCATAAACGCAACTTCACGTCGCTTTTTTTGTATTGGGTGGAAGCGATGCAGCTTCATTGTTGAACACATGATCAAGCATGTGCAGTGCTTACATCCGATGGGATATTGGCATATTGGAGGTCATCTGCCCATCCCGCCCAGGTTACACCTGCGACTCCAGAATTAGCTGAGACGCTTGAGACCAGAATTAACACGTTCCGCGCGGGTTCTGACAGTACCGTGTGCGGGGCGCATCTGCCTGGAGCCCGGTGTTCACGGTGCAATGTTACGGGCTGTTGCTTGCTCTGACTTTTGATGTTAAAGAAGCTTCAGTCTCAGCCGCGTTTCAAACCACTCTCGCAGTTGTTCAGGCTGCGACACTCCCATGGGCAGCGGTAGAAGTCCGCTTTTTGTGGGTCGACACCTGTCGAAGCAGGAAGTACTACTTCATGCCTTCGCCATCGAATCGACGTCCTGGGTACCGCGCTTTTCCATTGCCTGTGCCGTCAGATCTGTGCGACTGAGTGCGGTAGATTGAAATGCTGCCTCGCCTTCAACACAGCAGCCTTGAACTTCTCAATGTCGTCCTTGAAACCTACAGAGTGTCAATAGCACCAAGCTTCCGAATCCAAGGGGCATAATTTCTGCCTGGATTGGACTTCTCCAGCACCTGTGAAAGCCAAAAACGAGATGTGTGCGGGCGAGGCTTCAACACGAGGCAAAGTAGGATAAAGCAACGAGCCGCTGTGTGAGATCTGGCACACCCTAGTCTGTGTTCACTCGCTGCCCCCACCATAAACTGATCCATGACGTTAAGGCGGTGCTGCTGCACGGGCCCAACGCCTCAAAGCACGCCATGTGACTCAGAGTGGTTTGTAGCCCGCAACACCACGCGGGGGCAGGGGGGTGAACTCTCGGGGCAACAGCGAGGCTACAACGATCAGATCGCCCAGCCTTGTTGCTCCGCCTTGAGTGCCTTCGAGTTCTGAGTAATGACACTTCAACGTGCCGGGGCAATGGCCGGTGCCAGCGTGTCGTCGCATCAGTTCCAATCTCAGCAGTAACTAACTCTCAAGAAACAGCTGCAGGCCATGCTGGCATGCAGGCATGCGCAATCCGGGAAGCCAAGAAAGTGACAGGCTTGTGACTTTCTGGAAACGGAAAAAGTCGATGGTGATTCGGCGATTGTACACCTTCATAGCAGCAGCATCAAGAAGCACAAGTTTACCGAGCAGAAGCTCACGCATGTTGTCGACGTCACAACACGCTCTTACCTTGATCTTATCATAGTTCGACCAGAAACGAAGTGAAGGCAAGGACCTTACTGAGCGAGCGCGTTGCTGGAGTTGGCTGGTACCGGCTGGAGGCCCCAGCTGCTGCAATGATCTCTGCAAGTGCATACATGGATTGATGAGCTGGCCTTGGAGGAAGCTCGTGCAGGTCGTGCACATTACACATGGGCTCGACGAGCCATCTGTGTGCCGCGCTATACCTGTAGCACAGCTCGATGAAGTCTTGCATTCGGAACCTGATCAACTCGGGTTCATTGTGCGGCTGTCGAATACACATGTTCCACCCGGCACGATGTTAAGAAGAGTGCTTTGCCAATGGCAACTTGGCAAAGTTGATCGAATTCGTGTTGAATGCATGAACGGGACCTTGCACCAGTTTCGAGTGTTATGATAGTTCCCGGAAGATCTCATGAAATACCAGCCTGGACCTCTGAGCATGGCACAAGTGTAGTAGTCATCGTAGAACTCTTCCAGCTGACTGCTGGTAAGGTAGTGCACCTCAGTCCAAGGCTTGCAAAATGTTGGATCGCTGAGTTCGCAATCATTTTCTGTAGCAGGGCTCCCCGCAACACTTACCAGGATGAACTCTTCACCACGACACCCATCCAAAGGGCAACAGGCTGCTCATATGCGTCCCATTGCACTTCGATGGCTCTTCTTTCTCTCATGGCCGGGGGGTTTGGCATTCTGGGCTGTTTGCACGCGCCATGGATCGGGTTGTGGCGTTTACTCTGCTAGTTGCACAAGAACCAGTAAAGATTCGCCATTGAAAGCTGCCAGGTCTTGGCTCTGGGCTTGGGCCGTTATTAGGCTTCAACTGCTCTACGGACCCCATTCCGAAAAGTTCATGCTAATTGCCAGTCTGGGGTGGGGTGGGGGGGGGGCGGGGGGGAAGAGTACCGCTTTGTTAGGACCTTGTTTATGTTTAGCCAGAGGCACTGAGCAAGCAGCTGCACATTGAAGTTGAGCATCACTTTCCTTGCTCATCGGGACCCCGTTTCACAACCAAGGGCGTGCGGGGTCCGTGATCAAGTACCAGTACCTCGAGCTCCGCTTTTTGAAGACACTGCCAACAGGCGTAGAAGAAGAAGGACATGGAAGACAATATTGAGTAGCACCAGGTCTGATGAATTCACTGGTAGCACGTGCTCTACAAATCTTCGTGCTTCGCAGCAGGAACAGCACAGCGGCTAGGGCTCCAGCTGTCCAGCTCTTCATCTCTTTGCACACGACATAAAACATGACCTGCGAAAAAGATTAAGCGGTGCATGTTAAACGCACTGAAACCTCCCAAACAAAAAGAAAAAGCCTGACATAGCTCGAGCTTGGAGAGGGCACAAAACCTTCATCGCCGGGCTGTCAGCAAAGACGTCACCCTGTTCAGGAGCGTGCAGTGCTGGGACAGCTGCTGCATCGTGACATAGAGGAAGCCGTCCCATGTGACCTCGAAGCACTGAAAGCTCAGGAGATCTGGAGTATTTCCGCTGTGTCTCGGTGTTGGATCCCGTTACTTGAAGTCTAGGAGTCTAGGCTGTGTCCTTGTAGCCGGCCAGATCGAGAAGCAGTATCATGATCTTGGCGACCTTGGCCAGAGCACCTTCTGTCCATGTTCCGACTGCCTCCCCACTGGCTTGGCATCCGGCCCACTGTCGATGGTTCCTCGAGTCTGCACATACCGCGCATGCCTCGCAGAGCCAGATGCTGAGGCCCCCGACTTGACCAGTCTGGTCATGCTCGCGGTGCTAACCTGAGAGTCTCGAACAAACCAAGGTTCTGGCACGGATCTGCCCCAAAAGCCCCGCACTTCATCGGGCCCAACCCGGAGTGTGATGGAGTCGAACCGCTTAAGCCTCCCACCAAACAACCAAACAAGCAGCACCTTCGGTGCTCTCGCAAGTGTCATTGGGGCGTGGCCTTTTAAAAGTCTTGAAGAACTGCATCACCCTGGCAGGCGGTACCAAAGCAAACAGCCTCAGTCTCCGATGGCAGCTTGAGCTTCCGGCAAGCGCGGTGTGATTTTCATGTCTTGCAGCAGCTCCACCACCTGAATTTCAAGCCCAAGTGTTTGTCCCTCAGTCGTCTTGTAACAGATCGGCCTCCGAAGCAGGTTCTGGTGGTTTATCGAAGGAGAAGTTTCCCAAGCATGCCCTGGCCACTTGCGTTTCACCGGTTGCATCTCTGGACGGCCGGCTTGCCTGAACACTCTCAAGACCTTGCTGGCAGTTGCGAGGAGAACTCCTTCCTCCTGGAAGTGGCAATGAGTTCACAGCAACCGCAGCAACCTCCCAGAACCGGGAAGACCCCCGGACCGGACCAGGACAACCCTTGGACTTTGGAGCCCCAAGCTGTGGACAGAATCTGATGCAATGCTCCATGACGGAACGGAAACTGTCGGCAAGCTTATGTCATGCGCAGCACGCATCACCAACCTCATCATCTGTGCTTCTTTTCGACTTCCCCATTTCCTCCTGTGATGACACGCATCTCGCCCAAACTTCTATGCAATGCCTCAGCAATTCATAGTGGAAGCAGGAAGACTCCTAATCTGCGGTGGATGCCACTCTTCGATGGACCTCAAGGCACGATAAGTCGAAAAGATCGACTGGAGCTAAAGGGTAGCAGTGCAAACATGATTTGCACCTTATCGGCAGGTCATCTTCCGGACTGATCGGCCATCGCCTGATACCGCCACAGATGTCGATGTGTCTTCTTCAGCTTCCTTGCTTGCGTCCCTGGTTGCCTTTGCACCTCCAAGCCGCACGGAAGTAGAGGTGCCCTTTTTCTTGAGCCATGACGAACAGGAGAGATGAAACCTGGGGCTTATCCAGGGCAAGGCTTCCAGCACGGAGACTTCTCCTTTTGCTGGGCTTCCTCACAGTCCGGCTCCCGTCGCCGCTTTGTGCGGCGCTCGCGGGCTCCCCTTTCGACTTCTTCATTCGCCGAGTAGGTACCAAGAGGAGACCGGACAAGCATCGCGGGCTTCTGGTCAGACTCCATAACATTCTGCTCCACACGAGGGCAAGCAAAGTCCGTGATGATGACTGCATGACCATCGTTGCTTGACAAGCTGTTCCCTCGAATGATGCAGGCGGATTTGTCTGCAGCCCTGATGGCCTGCCTTGTATGACCTCGAAACTTGTTTTCCTCGATTGTCGGGGATGCTTCACCACGCACATCGATTCCTGCGGCATGATTATCGGTGAAGCTGTTCTGGCTGATACGTGCAGAAGATGTACCATCCACGTGAATCGCGGAACAACGGCATGCAGACAAGAAGTTCCCTTCAATCACAGGAGAGGCCTGCTCGCTTACGAGAATGCCGTAGCCTGCATTTCCCTCAATACGATTGTTCCGGATGGTGGCCTGCGCGGCGTCCCGGACAGCAATCACACAACGCTTTGTGCCCCTAGCAAGGCTTGCACCATTGAGTGTCCCACCCTCTCCGTCGTCGGCATGCCCTGCTCTCATGGGCTGTTGCAATTTGTACGGTATATTGGTTTGACCGGTCTTGTTTCGCAAGATCTTCCGCTGCTCATCAACATCGACCCACTCTTCACCAGCCTCACCTGAAATATAGGCTAGCTTGTGTGTAAGCTGATTCTGCGAATCTTCGCGCTTGGACACAACCTTTGCACGAACCGTGCCAGAAGCAGAAGAAAACTCGATGACAGGGGCAGTCTTGCCGTTGTTCGTCATCGTGTTGTCTTCCACTTGAACAGAGGCTGTGCCACTGATGAGCACGACAGCCCCGTCATTCTCTTGCATCACATTGCCTAGAAGCCTGCCAGTTGCATTGTGCTGATATGCGACTGCAGCCATTTTCTGGCCCCGCATCTCACAAGATTCTATACTGGCAGATGCCTGGCCCCGGACCAAGACACCACACCCATTATTGCATCGAAACCCCGTGCGTTCCACCTGGACTTTCACAGTATCACGGAACTGCATGACCGGTGCTGCATTCCTTTGCAAAACACAATCAGACACTGTAACGGATGCCTGCTCTCTTGCGGAAATACAAACATTCAGGTTTCCCTCGAAGGTGCAGCTGTTGAACTTGACCTCTGTTTCGTCCCTAAGGATCAAAGCCGTGCGACGGCAGGAAACGAATGAGGATTCTTGCAAAGTAGCGGAGGATTTCCCCTTCACGATAAATGGCTCTGACAGTGAAACTGTGCAGCACTTCAGCAGCACACTTCCACCCTCCACTTCCACTCCGCCTTCGCCCTCCAGGCACAGATTCTGCAAAGACGCTTGTGCGGGACCCCGCACGGCCACCCGAATTGGTTGCGACTGGAGGCCCTTAAATACCACCTTCGAGCCACCACGTGAAGTGCCCCTACCCATCAGCTCGACAGGCTTGTCAACTACAAAGCTCTCGTGGTAAGTCCCGGCAGAGATGAGGATAGTTGCTGGAGGCCACGAACCAAGTTTCTCCAAAGCTTCCGAAACTGTTGGGCAGTCCCGTGGAACACAGACAGCAAATCGCAAGCAGCCCCAAATCAAGCTCTGCAAATGCTGCCAGAAAAAGCTTCCACTTGGAGCGATTTTGGAGACGGTCTCATGCACTGCTTGGCGACGCAGCCACTGCAGGAGTGGATGAAAGTGGTCCACATCCATGGCAACATTGCAAGACGGCAGCGACTGTTGCTTCTTGCAGCCAAATCCCGTCGAGCTTGAGTTTATGGGCGCTCTGCGCCCTAAGCAAGCACAGCTGGAAAGTAGAATGAACGCATTTTCTGACAGGTAAAGAGATCATCGTGCAGTTTAGCGGGTGTAAGCTGCAGTGAGACGAAGAGGCAGCATCTAATAAAACCCCGAGGCATCACTTCTGCTGCATCTCTATCATGGTGATGCATGTTGACAGCTTTGCCTGCACACACAGTGCTGACCTAAGTAGCAGTCTTATAGAAAGTCTCGAATAGATGGCATGCGCTTTTCCACGATACTAGATGGCAAACGGCCTATTTCCGATTGCACCAAGCGAGGAGGGGAATCGTGGGCGTATGCCATGTATTTACGCTGGGAGCGACCGGTGCGCACGAACGCGCGTGAAAAAGGTAAGCCGCATCGGGTCCGAGGCACAAGCCACCACAGCTAGATGGCATCCGATTTGCTCCGCATGGCTGTGGATGCTGTGGGGCGGGGGGGGGTTCCGAGGTTCGTTGTAGTGGGAATGTCCACCACTGACACGGCATCCGGTTTAGGGCCTCCGATGTCCGGAGTTTGTGTTTTCACGAGATCGGCGGCCCCGCACATATACATGGCACACGCTTATATAATTTAGGGTTCAGGTGTGCTGCTCTCCTGTTCTTCTTTCACGTCTTACGGGCAAGGTCAGACACCGACAGCGGAGTTTGAACAAGTCAGGTCCCGAAAGGAAATGAATATTCCCCAAATGCCACCCAGACCCGAATACTTCGAAAAGGACAACTTTCCAACTTTTCAAAAGGAAGTGAAGCTTTCCCAACAAGGAAAAACATGAAAAACTGCGAGGAAAGCCAAAACACTAGGTATTCCAGGAGCAGGGAGAAGGAGGAGGATCAGCAGGAGGAAGAGGAGGAAGCGAGGAGGAGGAGGAGGAGCAGAAGGTCCACGAGCCGCGTGCCACACAAGCGTCGCTAACCATTTCAAATCACAACCCATGCACAGCACATTTCAAAGCCATTTTCACGCAGCGCACGCTGCACACACACCCGACGTGTGCCATCTAGTTGCTCTGTAGAACCCCAAAACCGAAAAGTGCACTTATTTTTTACCCAGATGGCATTTTTGTAACTTTTTGCACGTGCCATCTATTAGAGAATCCCCATAAACGTAACTGGGCCTCGTCTTGCCCTGCTTACAAATGCTGACAAAGGAAGATCATTTTTTGGGAACCTTGGGAGCCTTGTCTGCTCCTTGTCCTACGGATGTATGCAATGCATGGAGCTTTGCCCGCAACAGGGAATCCAGGGTTGGAACTGTAACTGCCACGAGCCTCTAGTTCTGTCAAGAGCTTGCTGGACACGCTTCCTGCAGCCACAGCGGCATCCAGCCTAGGAGTGTCGAGCCCAGAAACGGCTTCTCGGCACCACGTTGGGGCATTCTGAGTCCGTCGCGATGCAAGGGATGCTTGCAAACCCACGCCACCTGGGACTGTGCTGTGGCGGCTTCAGCTGTGTGGCATGGCGAATCCGTGGAGTCAAGGTACCGACATCAACGGCTCCAAAACTCGGTTGGGGTTTGGGGATATATATCTCGGTACAAGAAACCAAGAAAGCACCCATCGATGCTAGCTGCTGGCAAAGCCTTTCGCTTATGAGTGTCCCCCGAACGGTGAACTATGGCACCAGTCCACATGGGTGAAGATTGCACGAACTTTAGGAGTTGCCCTTTCGATGGAATTCTGCCTGTCACTAATTCCCTCGCGTGGAGCACGAGAGTGTATGTTGAGAGTTTCCAAGTAGTCTAGAAACTGGGCAGAGGAAAGACTGAAAGTGAGAGCCGAGGCGGCGTGCGTGCAAGCAGCGAAAGGTTTCACGGGTTCGGGCCGGTTCGGGCAGCACTTTGGGCAGAGACTCGAACAAGCAAGTGAGACTGCTTTGAACAGCTTTGTTCGCAAGGGTTTTCCCAGACCTGAGTCGCTTTCGGAGCAAACCTCGATTCGGAATAATGTCTTGGACCCTTGGACCCACACCGCCGCCCAAGAACCTCGACTGCAGCCCCAAACTCCGCGAACACGACAAAAGGCAGATAAAGGCAGTAGACTGGCTGTTCGAACCCCATGACCACCTCGTGTTGCAAGTAATTTGCGATCAGCGCAGTGTGTATGATCGTGTGCTCCGAGACACATACCCCGCTAGACACCCTGCCAGAATCTCGAACTTTCGTCGCACTTCCGAACTCTGGAGGTCTCGAAAGTTCGAGCTTGGAACTCGACGGACAGTGTTTGTGATCGTTTCGACTTTGGAAGGTGTCAGACCTGACGGCTTCGAAACTTCAAGCAATCAATGCGAACGCCGCTTGCTCGGAACACCGGACCAGTCTCACCAAGGCCCTGCTCCTCCAAGCACTGTCTTTGCGGCAAGTCCAGGGCAAATTCCCGTTAAGCTCTTGGCCGAGCAACCTAACACAGACCTCACCGCCTCCACGGCACTGCGCCGCACTGCGCTCCCTCGGAGGCCCTAGAGCCAGGAATTAAGTCCACGACAAATGTCTTCTGCAAGCCGACGCAATCCCTGCGCCCTCGCCTGCACAACAGAGCTCAAGCGTGAAAGCCTAGATTCCTTTGCCTGGCAGTGTTTCCCGTGATGCACTCTTGAACCGAGGACAAATTCATGTCAAGCATTGCCACTTGTTCGCAAAATCCAGCACATGTTTGTAGGGAGCTTCTTGGGAGAAGCCCTACGTACTGGTTGACAAAGCGCGCCTTTTCCGAGCTGAGGGGTCCTGGTAAAGCGTCGGTACAGGTCTCAGACAACCGCTTGGTGGATGGATGGCAGGTCCATGCAACAACAGGCCAGCAGCGCCAGTTGCACCTTGCATCAGTTCGCAGATACACGCATGAATCACCCCGCAACTGCGAAGCTGCAGCAAGAACTCAACACACCGATACCATAATTCTGGGAGAATCAGTTGTACCGAAGGCCTCACATGCTCAGGCAGATACACGTGAACCCAAAACCGTGCCCGTGGTGTCGCCACCATGCTGGGAAGCCATGTCGCAAGTGAGACCACTCTGATGCTGTGCTCAACGGAACAAACACGGTGCACGCCTTACTATACCGCACAGTCGACATATTAATATGATGATGTTGGCCGAATTTTGTTGCGTGCAAGCAGCCTTCAATCAGGTCACACCAGGCCCAGTCAGAAGGCTAACGTGGACATTATGTATGAAGAAGTTACTTTCGGCACGAACTTACCTGGAATATCCTGGGATCCTCCAGTACCCAAGCTTTGTCGAGAATCTTTCCACAGTTTTGCGTGGAAGTCGCAGTTTGGAAACTTTTTGAAATAAATCTATCTCCAGAGCAGAAGGCGTGGCCCACCCGCTTGCAGGTGAATGTGATTGGCCAAAAGTGCTTGGTCAGGCACGAGGCGAGCGCGATCTCGACCTCCAAAGCAGCAGAATGGAGGAGTCTGGCTTGCAGTCACTTACAGGATACAGCCCAAAGTCTAGACAAACACTGACGGTACTGACGTGCAGCTCCATGCCCTTCGAATTGCGGCGGCGGCTATGCCAAGGTGGACGACCACATGTGATTCTAGGATTTACTCGTAGGTTTCTTTACAGCCCCGCCTGCGATGCATCTTTTGATCCGAGCTGGCTTCCTGGTGGCATTGACACGCCAGAAGCGAGAAAGGAATGTGCTGGAACCGCCCCGAAAACCTGCGTGCCGAAGAAGTAGGGGTCCAAGTATGGGTCGCAGATCGCTGACCTCGACTCGCTCAGACTCGCGTGTCGCCGTGATGAGCCGAGGAGACGAGGCCGAGGCTCCTCGAAGGCGGCAGGGCGGCGCTCCTGCGGACAAACACGCTTCGCCATGCTTCGCCTCGGAATCCGCTCTCCAAAGCACGGATCCTCAGCCTTCAGCGCAGCACTGAGACGTTCCACAAGCCTGGATCTAGAGAATATGGACACAGGCCGGAACTCAAGCTTCTGCGCTGGGCCGAGAGATGAGCGTAAACTTTTTGCCGCTTGTGTCCAATCCACGCCTGCCGTCTCTTGCCGTCCCTTGTCGATGCAACCGGAAACAGCTGCATGGCCACATGCTTAGGTCCACACTCCTGGAGCTGTGCCTGCACAGGCATGTCGAGCTTGCACAACTCTGGCTGGGGGCATGCAGATGTAGCAGACCTCAGCACCGGCCTGCAGCTCATTGTAGTCCAGATGGTTCAATGATCGGACATCCATCTCATGCCCTCCCGTACTTTCGTAAACAAACCACGTCTCTATTTTTGGGACTCATGTCGCTCTGGCAATATCTGGCAAGTCCCGCAGCAATCCGCTGCTTGGTACCGGACGGTATTGCTTAGTGGGGCTATGTCGCTACATCCAGTTGCTAGCACTTGAAATCACATGTCTTCGCTACGCCAGTGCAGTGCTTCATGTACCGAAATGATTCAACATGTGGTTGTCTTCCCTTGCTGCCTCTAGCTCCGAGAGCGCAGTCTCGACGAGGTGTCACATGAGCCGAGCTTTGTCCGGGCAAGAAACTTACAGCCTGCCCACAAACAAACTGCACACTTCCAGCTGGATTTGAACCCGCCGCTCTGTACTTCGCAGGCTGATTCGTCGCTACTGCAAGGATGCTGCGTTGGACCTTGTGACGAGAGTCTACTTTACGGCTACTTCTGTACAATCGATGCACTTGAAGCGCTTGCATGCATAGCGCTTCTTAGCATCTTCCTTATGGACTGGCAGGATCGGATGGCCGTGCCATGCCAAGCCGACTGATGCGACTTGCTGCAGCTGAGGCACAGGGTCACTGCATCTCGACGGTCAAGTTCGGACTGAATCTCGTGGCCTGGATTATTTTCGGGGTCTGCTGATGCATGCTGGACTGGTGCTCCGAGTTTACCGCACCTGAGAAACCATGGCGAGCCCACTGACGAACCTTTCAGGCTTGCTGACT